CTGCTGATGGTAATGCTGGCAATTTCCCCGCTCTCCCGCAGGTCACGGCCAGAGGATTCGCCCCATTGTTGCAGTTTGCCTACACGGCTAAGCTGTTACTCAGCAGAGAAAACATCCAGGAGGTGATCCGCTGCGCAGACTTCCTGCGCATGCACAACCTGGAGGACTCCTGCTTCCGCTTCCTGGAGGCCCAGCTGCGCAGTGAGGATGACGGCCTGCTGCTCTGCCACAAGGTGGCGCCCTTCCCGCCTCCCGCAACCGCCACCGGCGCCCTGGAGGACGACAACTCCGAGGACGACGGGACGCGGCCCAAGGCGGTGGGCGTGGCTTCCCCGCGGGCCCGGCTCCGCCCCGACGCCCTGGGCTCCTCCCGGCGGCCGGACGAGGAGCGGCTGGCAGCGGTCGCCCCCGGCGACACAGAGCGGCGGCCGGACTTCGACAGGCACGGGGCCTCGGACCTGCCTCGCTGCCCCAAGTACAGGAAGTACCAGTGGGCGTGTGCCAAGCACAGCAACGACACCTCCTCGCACACCAGTACCTCAGGGTTTCCAAGCACATTCAAGGAGGCCGGCGGCCGCGCCCACGGCCACGCCCAGCACCCGGTCCCCTGCATCAAAGACGAGCCCCGCGAGGAGGAGGCCATCTCGCTGGGCCTGTCAGGCGACGAGCAGGACGCCCAGGAACAGGACGGGGTGTCCGAGATGGAGACGGACATCGGGGAGCACAGCCCCATGGCGGTGGACGGGCCAAGGGGCGGCAAGTCCCCCAGCTGCCTCGGCTCCTTCCTCAAGAGGGGCGGCGTGGAGCTGGCGGCCCTGCCCAACACCTCCCACCTCCCGCCCAACAGCAGGCTCTCCTGTCCCCAAGACAAAGGAACCACTCAGGGTGACCACAAAAAGGACTTTGGGCCCTTCCCCGGGGATCTAGGGCTGCCCCCGGCGGCCCTCAGAGAGGGGGACGGCTACCCCGTCAGGCTGCCGCTGAAGGCGGGGCCCTGTGACGGCGTCTGCAAGCAGGAGGCGGAGCTCGACCGCCGGAGCTCCGTCATTTTCTCCTCAGGGGCGCCGGCGCACTCCTACCCTGGGGGCGCGTCCCTGGACAAGGACCTCTCAGAGCACACACCAAAGGGCCTGTGGGCGGGGGCCAGCCAGTCCCTCCCCTGCTCCCAGACCTACTCCCCCGGCGGGGGCGTGGCCGCCGCCCCTGCCGACGCCCCCCCGGTCCAGTGCCGCTCGCGCCCCAACACCAGCTGCCCCGTGCCAATCAAGGTGTGCCCGCGCTCGCCGCCCTCGGAGACGCGCACCCGCACCTCCTCCTCCTGCTCCTCCTACTCCTACGCGGAGGACGGGAGCGGGGGGTCCCCCTGCAGCCTGCCGCAGTTCGAGTTCTCCTCCTCGCCCTGCTCCAACGCCGCGCGCTGCCTGGCCGCAGACCAGCAGGAGCAGGGCGGGCCCGGCGACGCCCTCTTCGGCCAGGTGCGCCCCAAGATCAAGTGCGAGCAGTACGGCACCAACTCCAGCGACGAGTCAGGCTCCTTCTCCGAGGGGGACAGCGAGTCCTGCCACGTCCAGGAGCAAGGCCCGGAGGTGAGTGTCACCTGCCTAACCTGTTTCACCTCACCTCACCTGTTCCACCTGTTCCCCCTGCCTCACCTGCTCCACCTGCCTCACCTGTTCCACCTGCCTCACCTGCTCCACCTGCCTCACCTATTCCACCTGCCACACCTGTTCCACCTGCCTCACCTGTTCCACCTGCCTCACCAGCTCCACCTGCCTCACCTATTCCACCTGCCTCACCTGTTCCACCTGCCTCACCTGCTCCACCTGCCTCACCTGTTCCACCTGCCTCACCTGAGGTTTAGTCTTTTATTTTTCAGATTCCACTAGATCAACATATAATTGAAATTCATGATCTAGTGCCTGGGTGATGTACGGTGGTGTGTGTACTTGGCTTCTCTTAGCTTGTAGCCTCTCTAGTTTCAGGTTAGCACAAGTTAACTCGTGGTAGTGAATAGTGATGTGCTCATACTCACTGGTCTGGGAGTGTTGTTAGCCTGGTCTGACACTGTTGCTCATTCAACTTGAATGGATAGACTTCTGTTCTCTTGTGATGGAAGTCGCTCCGGATAAGGGCATCTGCTACATGAATGTAATGTAATGTAATATGTGGATATTTAGTTTGCATTTATAGTTTATAGTATGGCAAATGTGTATATATAACATTATCTTATTATAACATTCTTATCTAATGTTATTATATACAATATGCAGTTGAAAATTGTTTTTTGTTTGGCTTTTTTTTCACTGATTCAACTTCATTTTATGAATCAGAATGTGCACCAGAGCAAAGTTAGTTTGGGGTCACTCACTGTGTTCAGGGTAATTTGTGACTTAGGCTGATCTCAGGGCATTTTTGGCAACCGCATCTTCCGACCTCTAGAGGGAGCAGGAGAGCAGCATTAGGCCACACCTCTCACTTACCGCTTCCCAGAGGACTAGTGAACAGCCTTTACAGCAAGTACTACAAACCCGATCGTTCCATCCGAGCAAAGACTGCAAATCTAATTTAGAATTTCTGATCTAATTTTTCAAATATTCAAGGGTGGATTCTCGGGAATATGTAGGCCTGTCTCAGCCCTTCAGGAGTATCTACTTTCAGGTTAACCAACGTTAATACAACATTATGGGGTGCGTGTTCCTGTGTGTGTGTGTGTGTGTGTGTTTGGAGATGGATATCCTATAAATGAACTCTGTTTGCGTAGAGATCAGTAAAGAAACAGAAGGCAGTGTGCAGAATTCTTTACAGAAAGAAATTTGAGAGGGCTCCTTCTTCTTAAATAAAGCTGAATGTCTAAGTTCTCGCAACACAATTTCCTTCTGACTTAAGATAAATGCATGGTATGTTCACACATGAAGTGCAATGTATGTGTGTGCATCGCGAGCTAAATGTATGCACGTGTCCATATGGTACATGCATATGCTTCGCTTCAAATGTACACATAAACATGCACATTGTTACATTGCAACTGATGTTCTTTTTAAAGCGAGATTAGCCCACCCTGTTCAACTGCATTTTATTTAGCGGTGAAGTAACGCTCACTGCTTCTCAGGCCAAGACCCGGGACTACGGAGCAGAGTGAAGGAAACTGCTGTGTTGCCATGGAGATCTCTTTGCCAGAACAGTTCCTGTTTCCCCCGGTTTGAATAACATGACAGAGCCGGGGCTTCCAACTGTGGAAAGAATCTAGTCGTTGAGCACAAACAGAGCAGCAAGATAAACAACCCGGGCAATAATGTGCGATTATTACCTTTGCCACATCTGTCTCTCTGCCTGATTAATGCGTTCTCCGAATGACTGCCGGGTCCTCAGCTCCGAGACGTACAGATCTCATTTAAAGCATCAGTCTGTAGAGCAGGAAAGCGACCGAATGACTCCTTTAATCTTTCAGCCTTTCTCCCGTCTCTTCTGTATGAATGAAATTGAGCCGACTCCCGAGACTTGCATGAAGCGTGTAAACCGTATCGCCGGCTAAATCTGGGCTGACCTTTGCATAGCTCTGTCTCCCAGCCCCCCCCCCCCAGTCCCCCTCCCTTTATATTATCACACACTGAGAGTGGTGATAGGATGTATTATGAATGAAGCCGTCTTTGCACTCCAGTCCTGTGCATAATATGTGCGTATCGCTCCTACTGCCTGCGCTCATTTTAAAATGAGACCTCTCGCACGAGCCGGATCCTGGCGCTTACATAATTTACAAGGTGCAGGCCAGAGTCCTCCTGGTTTAAATACTTACAGTATCTACAGTATGAAATGCCACCTCATGCTTCCGGGGGCCCTAGGTGAGGGGGTTCCCCCTTTCTTGGAGTCGGCTGACTGTAAATAAACAGTGTTGGGAGCAGTGTTTACAGGGCGTCTGTGTGTTTGCAGAGCAAACGTCAGGCCCGGCTCTCAGAGAGCGGCCAGGGTTAAAAATAGCACCAGCTGAGAACTGGAAACAATGAATTCTGGAGAGGAAGGAAGTTGTTAAACTGCAACCTAATCTCACAGAGGCAATAGTCATTCAAGGTACTCAAAGTCACACCAGGTCTTTCAGCTGCTCCCTGTCCAAGGTTATAGCTCAGCTACATGTGTGGATCATGTGTACTACACGAAGGACCACTTCTTAAATTGGCTAAGCAAACATCCCTATCTAGCACAACTAATCCAGCCTGACATAGGACACCTTATGTAACATGTTTCTACAGCTGTTCTTCATTATTTTTACTAATGTTATGCCATATTAGGCATAGATGTTATCTAAATTAGCCAGATACTTAGCTATATGAGGCTACATACCTTGCTAGAGGACACAACAGGACATCCCCACTAAGGACTTGAACCTGCAACCTGCAGATCCAGTGTCCTTGCCTGTAACCACTGCTCCACAGCGTAGGTTTTGGCCAATTATAATGAAGCAATAAATGGGGGCAGGGCCTGCTGTGATCTCGCAGTCTATGGTCCCACTGATTTTGTATTGATTTCAGTGCAAAGGCGACCAATAAGGAAGTGTCTGCCCTTATCTGCAGGAGTCTAGACGATGAAAAATTAACCTCTTAGTGAACGCGTTAGTCACACAGGAAGTCAGAGTGCCCCAGAAAAATGTTGCGATTCTCCACTGCCGTCTCGGTGACTTGTGCTCCATTCTCGAAATGATACGTCTGTGGTCTGAATATTATTTGGCAGGAGCGGTATTGGTGAATGGTTAAAACCGCATTTACTCGTATTTTATGCTGCTCATCTCCGGCACGCTCTTAGTTCGGCGCCCAATGTATTGGAGATCGCGTCGTATCGGAGAGCTCCGTGTTTACAATGGGGGAGAATAAGAGTTACATTACATTACTGTCATTTAGCAGACACTCTGCAGAGCAACCTACAGAGGGTACAGTTTTTACATTTTACATTTATACAGCTGGATATTTACTGAGGCAATTCTGGGTGAAATACATTTCCCAAGGGTATAGCAGCAGTGTTCAAGCAGGAAATCGAACCAGCAACCTTATGGTTTCAAGCCCTGCTCCTTACCACTATACTACACTGCTGCCCCAGCCAAGTTACTGAAAGCCCCTACATGGCCTGCCCACAACGCAGGAGTGTGCCAACCTAAACCCGGCAGTGCCATCCCTCAAGCCCCCGGGCGTAGCGTGCCCCCTTTCATTATCCGTTATTGATGTTGGAGCCCTTCCGAAAGGAGTGGCTGCGGTCTGTCGTTGCCGTGACGGCCTGCCGCTGGGAACTCTGGGAGGAGTCCGTGTCCCGACAGGCCTGTGCCGTGTCATCAGTCTGCGCGTCTGGGGCTGCGCCACACGGCCACCCAGGTGAGGGGGTGCCTGGCAGCGGCCGTGGGCTGGCCCTCCGCCCCGCAAACGGTCCTACCCTCCGTCTTTTAATACTCCATCTACAGCCCCTGGTTTTTGTCCGTTTCCCGTTGGATGTTGACTCAAAGGGGGCCAGAGCATGTTGCATATTCATCTGTGGAGGGCCTTCCATTTAGGAAAATGTAATTACCAACACCAAAAGAGTGTTTTTTTTTTATTAAGTCATGGCGTGTAGCACTTGGCTATTGCCGTTCCGTCTCTGCTGTAGCCAGCCACACTTATGCAGTGAATCACAAGTCCTGTGCAGAGGGTTCATCCCAAAGCTCAAGGCCTGTTTCAGCTTATTATCGGCATAGCACTGATGACAACTATGATATTAATTAATTAATGTTACATAATTAATATTAATATAAGTAATAGTTGCAGCAAGAGGAGTGATAATAGCTGTTTAGAATTAGTGCTTACAGTATCTGTGGGAATAGGTGCAGAAGATACGACAGGAAATGTAGCAATAACAGCAGCAGTGTTAGGCAGTGACTGACAGTATCAGTGGCACTAATAGCAGAGGAATTAGTAGTAGCGTAGTAGTAGTCGTAGTAGTGGGGGCCAGATTATCCAAAGGACGTTTAAGCTGAAAAGCTGGTTACGTCAGCTGCGTTTGTGTTGTGTGTGTGTGTGTGTGTGTGTGTGTGTGTGTGTGTGTGTGTGTGTACTTGCATGCGCCCTCTGACAGCCTGCAGGTCCCCTCCATATATTTTCCACTGACCGTATTCGGCTGCACCCCGGCGGTGCGGTACCCCAGAGTTCCTCCAGGACCCATATCCACGGCAGCGAGCGCAGACAGGTGCGCGGCTTTCCGCCCCAGAACTCCCTCCGCCATCTGTCACCTTCCCCGAGTTCCGATCCGAACCGGAGCGGCACGCCCAGCTGCCGGGACCCGCGGACATCAGGTGTCCCGCCCCGCGTAACTGATGAGCCCCAGTTTTCACTCCGGACCCATTTGCAGAATAATGACCAAACGCAGGAGGCAGAGAGAGAGAGAGAGAGCTGAGTGAGAGAGCGGAGAGGGAGGCTGTGGATTTATGAGCGGTGCTGAAGCACACTCTGTCTTGCTAGCCTTGTTACTGGACTGGATCTCCTGGTAGAGCGGCTAAATATAGAGAAGAGAAACTCACAAGGTCGCCGTGGAGAGATGGCAGTTCTCCTGCATCGCCCGCGACAGCCGGGCTCGGCGGTACTGACCCGATCATTCTGAAGCCGTAACACGAAGAGTTGTGGGTGCATCCACAGAGAGGGAAGAGTTTTTACATTACGTTACATTATTGTCATTTAGCAGACGCTTTTATCCGGAGCTACTTATAGGTTACAACTCTATCCATTCGGTACAAGGATAATTAATCCTTGTCCTTTACAAGGAACAATCCTTTCCTATTACAAGGAACATAGGTTATAATTTTATCTATTTATACAGCTGGATATCTACTGACCCAATTCTGGATTAAGTGCCTTGCCCAAGGGTGCAGCAGCAGTGCCCCAGCAGGGAATCAAACCAGCAACCTTTCAGATATGAGTCCTGCTTCTTACCACTATGCCACACTGCTGCCCACTTATGCTCTAATTAAAACCAAATAAACAAAGGGTTTATGTTTTCTTTCAACCTGCTTGTTAGCTTGGCTTGCTGGTGTGGTCTGTCAGAGCCTATCTGGGGTCCTGTATGGAGTGTGGGAGTCCGTTTATCCACAGCTACCTCACGCATCTGCAACATCTGCAGGACTGTGAGTGACCTCAAAAAGCCGGCCGTGACTTATTCCCGCCCCTCCTCTCAGTGGGCTGAGGGCGTCTGTCAGAACCGCGCGGATTACAGCCGGATCCTCTCTCTCTCTGGGTCTCGGCGAGGGGGAGTGCGGTATTAATCATACGAGACGTGGAGGGCCGGCCTCCGCACCGCTCCGCGCTCGGAGACGAGGGGGAGCGCGGCGGAGATGCTCTCATTAGGGCCCCCCCGGTCCCTGCAGCCGTCCCTGTCAATTAGAGAGGGGAGCAGCGGCGTGACGCTGGGGGGGGACGGGGGTGTGATTGGGGGACTGGGGGCGCTGACGCACCTGTTTGTGCGCTCCCACCGACGCTCTCTCTGGGCTCGTTTGAGCGGGTCTGCCACTGGGCGACTGGGCCAGGGAAGTGAGCACTGCTCCCCCTGGCTCCTGGTCTGTCCGCTCACCTTGGCCGAGGTGACCCTGAAAAAAGAGGAGACCCCCCCACCCCCTCCACTGCACAGAATGTAAAGCAGGCGAGGTGGCCCCCCAGCTCAGAAATAGCGCAGTGCCTTTGTGTTGAAACGTTTGGTATGTTGCCCTCCGTTATAGATTACCAATGTGCTGTTGTTTCAATGGTGTCAGCAAAGAGTGGAGACCTGTGAGAGACATGTGTATGGGTGCCTCCATACAGTGAGGCAGACATTAATACACATTTTGATGTGTGTGTGTGTGTGTGTATGTGCACATGCATGCATGCCTGTGTGTGTGCATGCGTGTGTGTGTGTGTGTGTGCATGTGTGTGTGTGTGTGTGTGTGCATGCATGCCTGTGTGTGTGTATACGCGCGCGTGTGTGTGTGTGTGTGTGTGTGTGTGTGTGTGTGCATGTGTGTGTGTATACGCGCATGTGTGTGTGTGGTGTGTGTGTGTGTGTGTGTGTGCATGTGTGTGTATACACGCATGTGTGTGTGTGGGTGTGTGTGTGTGTGTGTGTGTGTGTGTGTGTGTGTGTGTGTGTGTGTGCATGTGTGTGTGTATACGCGCATGTGTGTGTGTGGGTGTGTGTGTGTGTGTGTGTGTGTGTGTGTGTGATGGTGGTTCCCTCATGAATGGAGCCCATGTGCTCTCCCAGGAAAGACCCTGAAGAATACTCCAGCTACAGCAGCTTCCCTCCTCTGCTGTATCTGTGAACAGGCCTCTTTGGGGTGTTACTGCTGCGAGTTTACCTCAGGGTCCATCTTGCATGTTTTTTTTTTTTTATTTGCGGGAGATGATGGCAGCTTCTCTGGCAGTTTGGCGGTATGGAGGGGGTGGGAGTCTCGGAGGGGTGGGGGTGGGGGTGTACCCCGGTTCGGCAGGTAGGGAGGGAAAGCCTTTGTTCCCGGCGCGCTCCGGAGAGGACCGCCGGCGGAGCGAGCGAGCGGGCGGGCGAGGGGGCCTCCTCTCATCTCTCTCTCTCTCCGTTTCGCGGGCTCGTCTTCCTCTGCTCTTTGTTCTTCCTCCTCTCCGCTGTTCCGCCTCTCTCTCCCCCGAAGCTACGGCTCCCCCGTGGATTCGGAGATCGGAGGGGTATCCGTGAGTGATGGGGGTATCAGAAGGTTTGCCAGCACCTGCAGGGTAGAAAACAGGTCATCGATGCTCTCGACAAGAAAAAAAAAGGCAAAACCCACTAGAAATATCATTGCTGAATCTGTGTGCGTGAATAAAAGAAAGCTTCCAAACTGGTTTTTTCCTTTATTTTTGCTGTGATCTATTTTTTAATAAATGTATTAATTCCAGATTAGTCTTTTGTTCCAGCTCTCTCTCTCTCGCTCACTCTCTGTGTGCAGTGCTCTGGGTTAGGCTATGATGTCAAACTCTCCCTCTCCCTCTCTGTCACACTCGCACACAGGTTGCGGTGTCTCCAGCGCATTGACAGTTAGGATTTACATACTCATGCCCCCCGGTTATCATCTGGCATAAATGTGAAATGGGGTGGGAAGTCTCAGTGTGTCGTCTGTCTTCACTCTGTCTTCAGTGTCTCCTCCGCTACTTTTCAGGCAGTCGGGACAGATGGCAGTGTGCTGAAATATATTATCATTTTTTTTTCTTGGATCAAGCTTCACCTGAGACTGGTGTGCCTGTGAAATGTTCACAGTTTAAGAGCCCGTGTCCTCTCTCTAGTATGAGTCATACATTCCGAAGAACATTGTGATGCACAGAACTTTTGCCATCAGTGGCGCAATGGTGCCATCTAGTGGCCATTTTGATACTAGTACTGGTGATTGCGCTGTTGCTGACATATGCCAATTCTTTGCTGAATTCACTGTAGAAATATCAATGTAATAAAGTGTAACATGATTATTTTCTCCTTGTTTAAATATTTATTACAGTTGTGTGATTACTGGCCCTTCTCTTGCAGGTTAAACTTCCTTTCCCTGTCGATCAAATCACAAATCTTCCACGGAACGACTTCCAAATGATGGTAAAAATGCACAAACTGACCTCAGAACAGCTGGAGTTCATCCACGACGTCCGGCGCCGCAGCAAGAACCGCATCGCTGCACAGCGCTGTCGCAAAAGGAAGCTGGACTGCATCCTCAACCTGGAGTGCGAGATCCGCAAACTGGTACGCTGCCACACACACACACACACACACACACACACACAAACATGCACAGATATACACATGCACACAGTGTAAACCGTGCACAAACACATGCGCATGATGTGAATACTATACATGTGCATGCATCTGCACACACACATATCTTCAAATACATTTGCGATCAGTAAAAACCATACATGTGCATGCATTTACACACACACACACAAACACACGTGTATGCAGTGGAACCCATGCATGTGCATGCACTGATGCACACATGCATACGCCCAAATGAATGCGCATGCAGGGAAAACCAAGCGCACGAATTTATATACACACACATACGTGCACACATGCCTACATGCAATGACAAAAACATCTGAGA